ACCTCCGGTTGAAGAGGAAAATTATAATCCAGTGTATGAAATTTTTCATGAATGAAAAATTTCTGCCCAACATGTCATCTCAGGCATCTGGTGTAACTCACATTACCTGAAGTTATATTTTACCTGTAAATCAATTAACATGCATAATTATATGGCTTCACTTGTCAGCTTGGGTGTCAAACATACTGGTAATCAACGATTGTTTACCTCAGGCTAACTGCCGTTGTGTAACAAAAACTGTGTATTTATTGGGTTACTTCCCTTGATTTATCCTGTTTTAAGTTACTTTCCTTTTAATAATGAAAATTTTTAAAAGAATATAAATAAAATATAAATTGAACAAATAATCATAAAAGGATGGTAAATAAATGATTTTAAATGTCTTAGGACAAATAAAAAAATAATAATTTGAAAATTATTTGAGGATTCTATACTTCCTTTCAAGGCTTAAATTGAAATTTATATAATAACTATGACCCTTGTTTTACAGTTAGAATGATTTTCTGAGTATGCAAACAAAAACTATTTGCAGATAGTTAAACAAATGTTCTGGTTGCAATAAATGTTTTATAGAATATGAAGTAAAAAATTTAAAGAACATACTGAAAAAAAAAAATGCTAGATTGAACATGTAAAATATAAAGATGGAGAAACTTTATAAGTACAAGGGTACTATAAACATAATAAATTGGATGGAAAGTTGAAGAAAACACACTTTAAAAGACCATTTTTACAGCACACGGTTACATTTACGACAAAATTTATGTCGATTAAAAACCTCCTGATCTGAGTCCTAATCTCCTGACCAAAATTTCCCAATCTCCTGATCTGAGTTTCACAGTCCATCACATATATGAATAGGTAAATTAAAAAATTATAAGTTCTTAGACCACTTTCATTCTGTGTCAGAAACCTATGCTGTGTCAAATATTTAATTACAATCCAAATTCAGTGCTGTATCAAGCTTGAATGTTGTGTCCATACTTGCCCCAACTGTTCAGGGTTTGACCTCTGCGGTCGTATCAAGCTGCGCCCCAGCGGAGCATTTTATTATAGATTCTCAGATATTAGTTTTCAAATGTCCGGCAACGCATGGTTTTCATATTACCCCTGATTTTTTAGGCATTAGAAATTGTCAGCTGTAAAATGTAAAATTATCATCTTTAGATGTCCTGTCCATCCTGTGGTTATGTATATCTTCTTGTATTTCCGTTAACGTCTCCTGATGGCAAAGATATATACTAATGATATACTGATAGGGAATCTGCTAGATATGTTGTAATCCTCTTATTTGGTTTCCCATTAAGATTTCCCAATTGTTTTATACTGAAGACAAGTGTTTAAATGTACTATGTGACCTGTTTTAAATTATACAGTTATTTAACTTGAATAGTAGAACTCTTTGTATATTAAATGTAAATTATGGAAAAAACTGTTTTATATTGTACTTTTACCTTTGTTATTTTGAAAATTTTTGAAACAAGACTTTTTTTTTTTACTTTGTTAGTAAAAACATATACTTTTCACTTATATACAATGTAATTTAATTTACAGAATTGTCTTTTAAATAGAGAAAAAATCAAAGATTGTATGGTTTCCTCGTAGATGTTGTTTGGTTATTTGTGTCATCGGGTTGCTGTCTCAGCAATGTATACCCAACAACTCCTTTGTTCATATCTAGAGGTCAACATACCGGTATGCTGTTCTACAACAAGGAAGTGTATATAGCATATATCAAGCCCAAAGTTGACCTGAAGTTGTGAATAAATTCAAGATTACTAAAGATCTGCCATGAGATTAAAATCTTTAAGGACTATAAATCTTAAGACAACACTTTCATTCAGTGTTACTGACTTTGGACTGGCATATTTGCATGTTGTGGGACTTAGTTTTAGGAAAAAAATTGATATCACTTGATTTTGATCATAACAATATCAAAGTGCAACTTATTTCGCATTTTTAGTCCAAATTAGGTGAAACTGAGTCCAGTTCAAAAACATAACAAAAATCTTGAAACTCCCAAGTAAGAGCAGAGGATAATATTAAAAGTCAAGATAACTGACATTGACCAGTAATGAGTACAGGAAAAGCAACACTTTAATTATCTACCTTTTCAATTGTCTGAAATATCTTTTCACTATGGATGGTATAGACATAGAGAAAAACAAGTTTAAAGTACATTAGCCTCTAGTTTGTAATCCAATCAGTTAATATGCTTGAAAGACCTATTTTATAACTATTTACTACCGGTTAGTATATTCAAGGACTTTGATAGGATGTTATTTTATTATTTTAATCCATTTAATAATGCAGAACGACAATAATAAGTTGTTTACAATATTGCAACTTGAATGCAGTATTACATAATAGACCGGCGTAATTTAGACATTTCCAAATTTTTAATATGCGGTGTATAGAAATACAAAACTATCTTCAAGTGCATATTCAATCAATTTTATAGTCCAATGGTTATGGTATGCATAAAAACAAGATCATTAAGGACAGTTCATTGAATTTCATCTTTCTATATCTGATATTGTAGAACACTAGGCACAAAAAAACGGAAAATGAATCTTGATTTCTTAGGAAGATCTTTATGTTGTTTGGATTAAATTTGATATTTTTTCGTATTCAGAGATTCTAGTATTTAAATGCATATGATATCTAGTTTACAAAGCTATAAACTACATTTGTGTTAGTTATTTGACATGTCCTTGAATAAGAATGTTTACTACATACTATTTTTATAAGGTAATTATAAGGAAATTAATGTCCATGTGTTGAACTAGGTTAATAGGCTATAAAACTTTCATAATTTGAAAAGTTATCATGCATATCATTCATAACTTCCTCAAAAACTTTTGATATATTAGCATAAAAATTCATTACAACTGTCAGATGACAAAACCTTCCGATTATCAGTACACTAATCTTAAAAATACAATTGAAAGTACAGTACACTACTCTTAAAAATACAATTGAAAATAAAGTAAAGTACACTACTCTTAATAATACAATTGAAAGTAAAGTACACTACTCTTAAAAATACAACTGAAAGTAAAGTAAATTTGTGGAAGATCAACAATACTGGGTTATGATAGATAAAACGGGACAGGAATTGCCAAAAAGATTGGACCATACAACAGTACAATAGACTTCACCAACCACCAACATCTGACTGAAATAAAACCCCAATTTGTAAAAGTAGTCCAGTTACCAACATATATGCCTTGCAATTCATTGTCACAGTAAAGTTGATTGATTGATTGGTGTTTAACATCACTTTCAGCACTATTGACTATTTCCTGGCTGTCAGTTTTATTGGTGGAGGAAACTGGAGAGCAGCACCAAACGTAGGCAGGAAAACTGACAATCTTAGTCAATTTAGATTGGAGTCAAACGCACCTGTCACATGTGGGGTTGAAACTCACAACCTCAGTGTTGACAGGCTAGTGATACAATAGTTGGACTACTTAGATCACTCTGCTACCGAGGCCCACCAAAATGAAATCAAATAAGCATCTTTATTAACTATTGACTAACACATGTTCTGTCTAGCCATGATCAATCAAGCTTGATAAAACTAGAACATCTATTAATAAAATACTATGGTTATGATAAAATTGAGAATATAATTGGGGAATATGTCAAAGAAACAACAACCCGACCAAAGAGCACACAACAGCCGAAGGCCACCAATGGGTCTTCAACGCAGCGAGAAAATCCCGCACCCGGAGGTGGTCCTCAGCTGGCCCCTAAATAAAATTGTGTACTAGTTCAGTGAAATGGACGTCACCCTAAACTCCAAAACATATAAATGAACTAAAATTTAAAAACATACAAGACTAACAAAATGAACACACAATAGTTTGATTATTTAAAACAACTTATTATAAAATGTCATTACACAGAATATCAAACTGTTTATGCTATGGTTAACAAATGTTTGAATACTAGTACCCAGTCTTCATTTGAAATAGACAGTCTATCATACACCTTTGTAAAATATATATTATTTACGTTACACCTGATATACATTTATACATATATTTTCTCTTTCTGTATCAATGAGCTGAAATTTTCACTCTAGGTTCAGTTTTAAGAAATGGATTCAGACAGCCACTTAAAAAGGTTTTGCCAATTAGTAATCTGAAAGATCTAAATCTTTTGCAAAACATAATAATATTTTATAATTGAAGCAATTGAACAACTTCACATCATTTTTCTGTGATCAGAAAATTAATTTCCAGTGATTGAAATTTGTTTATGTTATGTCAATGTTTCAACAGAAATGAGACAAAAAAGCTTTTTTTGAATTGCTATGTTAATATCATGCTACATTAGAATACAGAATTAGATGACAATGTAGGTTGAAGATGAAAGAGACAGATCTCATGGGAACTAACAGCAAATTTTATTTTGATTTCCAGAAAAGCTTTTCATAGAAATAATTAATTACATTCAATATAAAATTGCTAGCTTTGTCTTCATTTTTCTTGGAAATTGACATAGCAATGACATAAACCACTAAGAGTGCTCCAAATAAACTGTAATATTTCAATATTATTTTTATAGAAGCAGGATACTAAAAGGCAGATCTTATTGCTGTTTGGTCTAATCTGGGTGAAACAGTGTTAGACAACTTCCTGATTATGAAAACACTGACTTACTCCAATTTTTGCTTTATATGCCCTCCAAAAGACTTTACTAAGCAACCTTTTAGCATGTACAAGAGGGTCAATATGTTTTGATTAGGATCAACAAAAGAAATGTGTACCCTTATTAATAATTACAGAGCCCACAAGTTCTAAAAGAAATTTTTCGTTGAAAATTTCAGAGAGGTCATCAAAATAAGGAGTATTTATATTTAAGGAAATCAGTTTAAAAACGGTTGATTTTTTTTTTCTGAGGAATCTTCACTAACATTAACACATCGATGATCCAATATGAAAAATATACCTTGGAAAAATCATGTCTAAAAAATAATATGTTCATTTTAGGTGATCAGACTGTCTGGCGAATTTAAAGAATTTGAGATGGAAGAAACAAGCGATGAGAATAAGGAGAACATGTCTCAGCAGTACTACATTGCCGTTGGAGAGCCAATTCCACACCCATCTGACATAGAGATTCCGCTGGATGGCAATACCTTCCTATCTAAACACAACATGGATATGACTTTCACATACTGTGATGAAAGGTAATATATGAGATATGATGAACTGTAAATTCAGAAATTAATGCATGCATCTTTTAATTCATATCACTGATATACTGTTAAAAAATGTGAGATATGAATAATGCCATTTCAAAATTTGGTGACGGAAAATCACTACTGAAATTATGAATGCAAGTTTTTAGTATTGCGAACCTGATACCTTGGCATTTTTTGCATTAATAAAAACATCTCAATAATTAATGAACAATCAGTGTACCATATTTATCCCAAATGAGAATAAGTTTATGCATTGAATCAAAAAGTCACCAAAAATATATAGCAGGCATCTTTGTACCCCAAATGGAACTGTTAAGATTATTACAGTTGCTAATTTAGATGTGTTTAATATTTTTGTGTACATGTGTTTGTTTAATGTTTTATTCAATTTATTCAGAATTGAGAAGTTGATTGGTTATGACAGTGAAAATTTGGAGAAGGAATCTATTTATAACTACCACCATGCCTTAGACTCTGAAAACTTGGAGAAATGTTACAAACAATGTGAGTGGACATTAAAACAGTTGTTACCTAGGAGACTTATAATTTATCTGCTATAAAAGAGAGGCGAAAGATACCAAAAGGACATTCAAACTCATAAGTTGAAAATAAACTGACAATGCCATGGCTAAAAAAGAAAAAGACAAACAGACAAACAACAGTACACAAAACACAACATTTGATTATTATAACAAACACACTTTTTTCTGCAATGAGTATATTTTTATGCCCCTGCCGTAGCGGAGGGGGCATTAAGTTTTACCCTTGTCCGTCTGTACGTTTGTCCCAAAATTGGTTTTTGTTCTCTAACTTTAGTTTGCCTTAACCAAATGTTATGAAACTTATACACAATGCTTATTACCACAAAACACAGATCAAGTTTGAATTTTGGTGGCGTCACTTTTACCGTTCTAGAGTTATGCCCCTTTATAAATGGAAAAATTGCTAAATTTTTCGTTTCCCTTCTTTAACTTTAGTATTCCTCTACCAAATATTATGAAACTTATACACAATGCTTATAACCACTAAACACAGATCAAGTTTGAATTTTGGTGGTGTCACTTTTGCCGTTCTAGAGTTATGCCCCTCTACAAATGGAAAAATTGCTGAATTCTCTAAAATTAACTTTAGTTTGCCCCTACCAAATATTATGAAACTTATACAGAATGCTTATAACCACATAACACAGATCAAGTTCGAATTTTGGTGGCGTCTCTTTTGCTGTTCTCGTTTTGTTATGCATTAAATCACAGCTCTCTGCAGTTTTCTTGACCCTACAACTCATATGTCTATATATATTTGGGGTCTCGGTGGCAGAGTGGTCTAAGTAGTCGAACTACTGTTTCACTAGCCAGTCAACACTGAGAATGTGAGTTTGAATCCCGCACGTGGCAGGGCGCTCGAATCCAACCTTAATTGATATGTTTGTCAATCGACAAAGGTCTTGGTTCTCTCCAAGCACTCCAGCATCCTCCACCAATAAAACTGACATGCCACGAAATAGAACATTAGCGCTCAAAGTGGCGTTAAACACCAATCAATCAACCTTTATATATTTATATATATCTTTATTCTCATACAGCCAATGCATTACATTGGTTCAGAGAAAAACAATTGCATATACAGTAAATATAAAATATATATATATATATATATATACAATCCAACAAATAACATCTGATGTAACAAAACAAACATAATTATTTACACATTTGATATATATGTATAAAAAGTTTCCTCAAAATAGCTTTATGTTTACAGAACATTACTATGAACTCATTTATTTTTGTGGGTACCAATTTTCATAGATTGAGAAAAACTTGCATTTTCGTGGATATTTGATTTTATGGATTTGCCATAGTCTTCATACAACTTTAAAGAAAATGTGTAATTTGTTGAATATTTAAATTTGTGGTTTGAATACATTATGTCTGTTAGTAAAATAAGTCAATGATTATTTTTTCGTTTTAGGCAAAAGCTATGCATATGAATATGTAGTGATACTCAACACAAAGCTAGTAAAAAAAGATTGCAAATGACTCCTTAATAGTGATTTTAATGTATATATCCAAAAAATAAAGCTTCTATCTATGTTGATAATTCACTTACTATTATAATATAACCTTGGCCACACCTGTTCAACATGCTTGCCTCAAGTGATGGGACTTATTCAAACCATTTATTTTGAAAATGGTATTTGCTACTTCTCCCTTATGCATTGAAAATTTAGGGGAAAGAGTAAAAACTGGTCAGCTGAAAGTTAATAATAGGCCTATGCAGGGTGACATTTCTTACTTCTGCCAGTTACCTAGTGAGCTAGCAGACTCAGTAGGCATAGTACCAGTATATTCAAGTGACTGTGAGATTATGCATGTAATACTTACCACAGTACAAAGCTGCTAATGATTCTTGAAGGAATTTTTTACTTGCAGTTGCATTAATTAAAATTCTAATTATTTGACAGTATTCTCCAAAGGACAAGTCATGACTGAACGCTACAGATTTTTGGCAAGAAATGGAGGCTATGTATGGGTGATCACCCAGGCAACCATCATATACAACAATCGTACACATAGACCAGAAAGTGTTGTGTGTGTTCACTATGTACTTAGGTAATGTGCACATTACAAAAATGTTCTTCAGGAGCCATAATTAAAAAAATAAATTTAATTTTCCATATAAATATGGACACCCAATTTCCAGATGAAATGTGAATTTGAAAAAAAATCCACAAAAATAATGAGAAAAAAAACCAACTTTTAAATCAAAATACATATAATACACAATAGCTTAAAACAAAACAAAACAGATGTAAACCGAAATGGGGGAGCTGTGTACAAGTAGTGGTGACAAATCAATGACAGTGGTGTGAAAAGTAACATACATCTGTCATGCCACATAGGATGCTCAATTTATAAAGTTTTTTTTTTTTGGATGCCAGATACATTTAAAACTGAAAGGTTTCTGGTATTGAAGAATTAGAGACAAGAAAATATATTTGCCACTAGAGTAAAGCTGTCAGCAATCAATACATGCAATATGTCTTTAACTGTATGCAAATATTCATGGGTTGTGTTTTTTGTAGTGGTGTTGAAGAGAAGAGTTTGATTCTGGCTGGGTTCCAGAAAGAAATCAAAGAAGACAGCATGTTGAAGTTTTTCAAACCAAGCACTGAGGACGTCTTTCAACCTAAATCAGAAATATGCCAAGAAGAAATGGATATGTACATGGCTCCTGGCATGACTAACAGTAAATATCTGTTCAAAATTGTTATAGTCAAAGTATTATCATATATGACTTAAAAATTTTTGAAAACTTTTTGCTTCAGTAAAGTACAAAATTTAACTATATACGAAGGCATATTTACCATTTTCTGTTTTCAAATTTATCCTGATAAATATACATAAAAGTTGGAAATAATGAATAAATCTTATTTTATACAACCACAAAATTTGTGCAGCCATATATAATGTATGTCGATGTCGTTGTCATCGTCCAAAACATTTGGTTTCCAGACAATAGCTTGAGTATAAATGTATGGGGTTCTTTGATATACGCTAAATCTAACCATGTATTTAGATTTCGGACCATAATAGGTAAATGTCCAATTTCAAATTTTTAATTTCTTAGACCACATTCATTCTGTGTCAGAAACCTATGCTGTTTTAAATATTTAATCACAATCCAAATTCAGAGCTGTATCAAGCTTGAATGTTGTGTCCATACTTGCCCCAACTCTTCAGGGTTTGACCTCTGTGGTCATATCAAGCTGCGGCCTGTGGAGCATTTTATTCATTTTATAAAGTGTAAGTAATTTGTTGTTTGATTGCTCCTTTAAAACCATATAGAATTTTGTTGGTTAATGTATGATGTAGGTGTTTGATGAAAATAAAAATAAAGAAATGTTTTGGCATTTTGGAGAGAACTTTTTAATTTTTGCAGCAAGTAAGGGAACATACATAAAGATGTTAAAAATAAGCATATCACTTCATATCCCTCGAGTGTCTTCAAGCAACAGCTTAGAGGTGTAGGCCAATATAGAACTGACATTTGCTATAGATTCTTTTATATTGTTGAAAGCTGTATCGTGACCTCTAGATGTCTTTTGAAGACTTTATCTTGACCTCTAACTGTCTTTTCTGGTTATATTTAGTTGTAGGATTGCTGTGTTATGGACACATAACAAACAGTTTTTTATGCCCCCGTCGCTAGGCCATTCCTGTTGCTTTTGACTATCTTACATATGAAAACTGTAATTTAATTTTCAAGCCAAACTCTCTAGCATATTTTTAGTCCCCTACCGACGAAGTCGAAGGGGACTTTAGGTTTGCACTCATTCCGTCTGTCTGTCTGTCTGTCCATCTGTCAGTCCAGCAAATCAGTTTTCCAGACTTTTTTTCTTTTTGCTTGAAGATATTGATTTGATATTTGGTTTATTGATTTATCATGACAAGTTACAGGTCAAGTTCAATTTTCACGATTTTAGCTTTTCTCTTTGTTTAGTTAAAGCCCTTTCCCTAGAATTAAATTTTTGATGAAATTCTTATTAATTAGTAGATTTCTGTGCAAAGGGAAATAACTCATTTTTTAAAAGATAAAATGAAATTTTGGATTTTTTTCCTTTTCTTTGGTAAATTGTTTGAAGAATTTAGTGGTAGGTTTGTTTGTCATTCTTGAAGATATTGATTTGATAATTAGTATATAGTTTAATCATGACAAGTTACAGATCAAGTTGGAATTTGTTCCAGTCTGATAATTTTGTGCAGAGTTACTGTCTTTGGACATAGAAAATTCACTTAAATAATCAGTTTTCAACAGTTTTTTTCGTCATGCTTGAAGATTTTGACTTGATATTTTTGTGTAGTTTACACCATGACAAGTTATAGATCAAGTTAGAATTTAGTTCCATTATAATGAATTTGTAACCGGTAGAGGACTATGTATTGCCATGCAATACTCACAGAAAGCTTGTTTAATCAGATTTTTTTTCTATTTTACCGGTAATCTAATTTAACTAAGGAATAATGAGCTCATACATTGGTTATGTAAGACTAGAATTGTAAAACCTGTCATCATCCTCTATGTGAAAATAAGTCTATAATTTTTTGCCCCAGATGTAATAAGTTGGTTAAAGGTAACAATATTATTTCTTATTTACAGGTATGATGGCAGATACTACCATTGACCTTACTCACCTGGCACCTAATGCTGGAGATGCATGTATACCACTAGCACTGCCTTTCGTAGCATCTCCAGGTGAGCCAAAATTTGAAGAAAAGAAAATATTAAAATGAATTGAAAGTTAAGAAATTGAAGAAAGGACGTTGAATATTATGGCTTTCTCAATACACGTCTGACTTAATCTGCAGACATAATCAAATTTGATATGGACAATGTCCTGTTTTAATCTGTTATTCTAAATCGACACCCTGATAAGTCAAAATTATGTTTTTTCTTTTGAATATTTTTGAAAATATGCATATGTTAAGTAGGTTAAAAATCATTTCCAGGGTAGATTTCATTGAGATAGCTGAACAGCTCCTCAGTAATAATACTACTTTGATTAAGACACTTGCCGAGGGCGGGAAATTTGTGTCATCTTTATGGATCTAGTTTCAAATTTTTTTTTATTATATTTTCCAGTTAAATATGCAGAAAATGGAACCCCATGTTGTATTGTATTCAGGTTTTTAATTTAAGTCAGTAGTAGTAAAAGAAATAGGACATGTTCTACGATAATGTTTCTCCAAATGAATTTACATGATAATAGTAAGGCATTAAATTGAAATAATATTTTACTTTGAAGATGATTTAATATATGCATTAATTTCATCATATGATATGAATATAAAGTGCTATATTAGAAAAAAAAGTAATTTCAGCATTTGATTGTTGAATTGAAATTCCTATTATGAAATATATATAGGTTCATTTAGTAGGATTAATTGTTGCAAAAATAGACAAAAAAGAATAATGAAAAGCCTTGAAAAGATAGAGCAATTTTTTAACTGTCTTCTCTTATATCAGTATCAATATGTTAATTGAAATGAGAAATATTTGGTTTTTTTTTAATTTTAGTTTTAAAATCACCTGCAACGATTGGTTTTGCAGTAGCTAACACTAGTTATCTCCCCATTGAAAAAACTATTTTATCAGTTTTTTCTATATATAGAATCGGGTTTATTAATATAAATCGTGAAGGAATTCATTTTGTAAAACTGAAAATGCTTAAATTGTGCTATAATTATTATTTCCTGCATACACATATGCTAAATTGACATAAGTATTTTATACACTCAAGTTCTGATTAAAGCAGTTTGTTAAATTATACTTTTACTCTGCATTCACTTTAAAGTAATGCATATTTAATTTATCAGGTTATCAGTTTATATCCTATATATCTGAGTCTGATGTCAGGCTTGGAAATTTCCTCTTTGGAGCAGTTTTGCTTCTGCTCTTACACATTTAACTTTTCAGCATTTTCAACTCCCTCCTAATGTCAAATAAACAGCAACCAAACAACACAAGGAACAAAAGACATTTATCCTATTGATATTCAAATCTGATTGATTTTTTTTTTGCATTGACAATATAAAAATGATACATTGATCTGAACACAGCAATACTTCTGAAACTTGTTAAGACTACTTATAGGGATAAAGTGTATTAATAATTCATGACTGAAGGCAAAGGAACAGCACTTTTATTGCTGTTCTTCATCTCTGAGTCACATGAGGCCTTCAATGCAAAAAGCTCATATCTTACTGCAAGATCAAGTCAGTCTTTAGTACAGTTTTAAGTTGAATTCTTTGATAGAAGTAAAGAACATTTATGTATTGAATATTACAGATACTGGGTAATAACAAATTATGGTACTTTCCTGTGTCTATATCACCCTTCTCAGTCACTCTGTAATTTTTTTGTATCATGGGTTTGAGACATGAGCAGAACTTATTAGTGATGTCACAATATTTGATGAGAAGTAAACAGTTAGGGGGAGCGTGGGCGCCCGCTAACATGTTTAACCCCACCACATTCTGTATGTGCCTGTCCCAAGTCAGGAGCCTGTTATTAGTGGTTGTCGTTTGTTTCTGTGTATCATATTTGTTTTTGGTTCATTATTTTCTACATAAATTAGGCCATTAGTTTTCTAGTTTGAATTGTTTTATATTTTTCATTTCGGGGCCTTTTACAACTGACTATGCGGTATGGGTTTTTCTCATTGTTGAAGGCCATACGGTGACCTATAGTTGTTAATTTCTGTGTTATTTGGTCTTTTGTGGAGAGTTGTCTTGTTGGCAATTATACCACATCTTCTTATTTTTATAGTGAGGTCACAATATGAGAGCAGAGCTTTTGTTAGGACAACCAAGCGTAAAACTGTCAGAGAGAGGGGGGAATTTGGAGTAAAAAAAAATAGAATGATATACAGATTACCTGGTTTTTCTGTATATAGATATAGAAAAATATCAGCCTCTTTCTCATCAAAACAGTAAACATTCTGTATTTACTCATAAATTGACTCACTTTTTAAATCAACATTACACTTTTACACTGACTGCAGCAATCATAGGCGAGACACAAGGTTCTGCAGAACCCATAACAAATATTTTTTAGAATTTAAATGTCAGAGATATTTCTTTTTAGAAAATAAATTATATTGTTCTGTTGGTTTATTAAATCATATTACCCACTTAACCTACTTTGAATGTTGTAATTTTTTTTTAGAAGAATCAACAACAGATGAGAAATACAAGAAAGCAGAAGATCTCTTTCCAAGCTTTAAGAAAGAGCCTGATAGCTTTCTGGCTTGTCGTGGTCAAGACAAACCTATAAGTACTGGCACAACTCCAGTTACTTCACCAGGAGTAAGTTATATAGTTAAGAGTTCGAAAATGTAATGATCAGTTTAACATCTGATGAAAAACAGAACTATCCAAAAAAGAGTTATGTTTTATCCCTAAATACCAATTTAAGATTAGGAATTGGAATTACAGTCATTTATAATTTAGGGAGCAATATCCAGTCATCCATGTTTTGCATTTTGGTCCCTGTTGAATTTCAAATATGCAATAAGATTGATTTTTAGATAGCTGAAGAAAAATTAATGTATCCTCAAAATTATTTTTTTTTTGCTCCGTGTTGAAGGCCTCACCTGTGATTTTAAGATAAAGAACAGCAATAAAAGCACTATTCCTTTGCTTTTTGTGTGTTTTTTTGTTGTTGCTGTGCATGTACTGATTTTGTGTCATGGATGGATACCCCGTATCCTTTGTTTTTCTATTATAGTGGTTTAAAGATGATTTTTATTATGTTTTTTATGTTTTTACATGCTAGATACATGGTCATCAACAATTGTATTAAATTGATGTTTAGTGAATTGTGAGTGCAGAATTTTTCAATTTCTATTAATGATGCTAATATTCAGTTATTCAAGTTGGTCTCAATAATCATTTTAAAGATAAACTGATGTTCGGTCAACCGATACCAAACATTTTAAAATTGAATTTGATTTTGATACCAAAAAATCAGCTATTACTTAAATTAGAATGTAAGGATGAAATCAACAACAAACAAGAAGAATCCTGTTACGGGACAGTCTTAGAAGTTATAAACTTGAGAATATTCAATATCTTCACAATTTCAGCAGCCAAGTCCTCCAACACCAGAGGATTATTTGGCACCTTTCGATCCTAATGACATGGACTTCATGAACACATTCTTCACTGATGCACTACCAAATAACAATGATGCTACTTTAGAGGTAAGCAATATTATATTATTATTGTGAACAGTTTAAAATACATTGTGTATATCAACACTTAAATTTCACAAATGTCAATTAAAACTAAAGCCATTTGAATTTGGCAATATAACATTTTTTTACAAGAATAATTGCAGTTCATTTTTAGCTCACCTGACCTGAAAGGTCAAGTGAGCTTTTCTCATCACTTTGCGTCCGTCGTCCGTCGTCCGTCGTCCGTAAACTTTTACAAAAATCTTCTCCTCTGAAACTACTGGGCCAAATTTGACCAAACTTGGCCACAATCATCATTGGGGTATCTAGTTTAAAAAATGTGTCCGGTGACCCGGCCAACCAACCAAGATGGCCGCCATGGCTAAAAATAGAACATAGGGGTAAAATGTAGATTTTGGCTTATATCTCTGAAACCAAAGCATTTAGAGCAAATCTGACGTGGGGTAAAATTGTTTATTAGGTCAAGATCTATCTGCCCTGAAATTTTCAGATGAATCGGACAACCTGTTATTGGGTTGCTGCCCCTGAATTGGTAATTTTAAGGAAATTTTGCCGTTTTTGGTTATCATCTTGAATATTATTATAGATAGAGATAAACTGTAAACAGCAATAATGTTCAGCAAAGTAAGATCTACAAATAAGTCAACTTGACCAAAATTGTCAGTTGACCCCTTAATGAGTTATTGCCCTTTATAGTCAATTTTTAACCATTTTTCGTAAATTTTTGTAATCTTTTACAAAAATCTTCTCCTCTGAAACTACTAAGACAAATTTAACCAAACTTGTCCACAATCATCATTAGGGTATCTAGTTTAAAAAATTTGTCCGATGACCCCGCCCGCGAACCAAGATGGCCGACATGGCTAAAAAAAAGTACATAGGGTAAAATGCAGTTTTTGGCTCATATCTCTGAAACCAAAGCATTTAGAGCAAATCTGACATGGGGGTAAAATTGTTCATTAGGTCAAGATCTATCTGCCCTGAAATTTTCAGACCAATCAGGCAACACATTGTTGGGTTGCTGCCCCTGAATTGGTAATTTTAAGAAAATTTTGCAGCTTTTGGTTATTATCTTGAATATTATTATAGATAGAGATAAACTGTAAACAGCAATAATGTACAGCAAAGTTAGATCTACAAATAAGGCAACATGACCAAATTTGTCAATTGACCCCTTAAGGAGTTATTGCCCTTTATAGTCAATTTTTTACAATTTTCATAAATTTTGTAAATTTTTGTAAATTTTTACAAAGTATTTTCCACTGTATCTACCGGGCCAAGTTCATTATAGATAGAGATAATAGTAAGGAGCAAGAATGTTCAGTAAAGTAAGATCTACAAACACATCACCATCACCAAAACACAATTTTGTCATGAATCCATCTGTGTCCTTTGTTTAATATGCACATAGACCAAGGTGAGCGACACAGGCTCTTTAGAGCCTCTAGTTTATTACTTTCTTCAATGTTTCTACACATGATAACAATTGATACAAATAAAAAAAAACAGTCACCTAAAAAAAATATGTTCAGCTTTTTAAGATACAATCATTTGTAAAACTATAATTTTTTCTGGGATAACAATAATTTTGAATTTTTATTAGAAATATACGAGAAGAAATAAAATTTTGTAAAACATAGTAGAAATATCAGGAATTGGAAAAAGTTTTGTTAAAACTGAATAAAAAAGTTTGACATGTTAGAAGTGTATGCAGAGTTAGAAGTGTATTCAAAAGTTAAAAGTGTATTCAAAAGGTTTGTTTTTTTAATGTATTGACAAATTTAGAAGGTGTTTGGCTAAAAGGTTTAATATGTTACCTAGGAAAAGTCAAGAGGAGTAACACAATTTTAAGGAAAAGCTGCAAGAAACATCCTTAACAACAGAATTTTTTTTTGTTTTTGGTGAATGATGAATAACAATTCTTTTATTTACACAGGACTTGAGCAGTAGAGCTCCCTATATATCAATGAATGCAGAAAACGACTTCCGACTTTATCCGCCTACAAGTGAAGAGTTACTTGGTCTGAACAAAGATTTCAATCCTGTGTAAGTTTGAATGGTGGTTGCAAATATGCAAAAAAACTGTATAAGTTGGAGTTTTTTTTTTGTGTAATATTGTGACTGTTTGGGTACATGCAAAGAAATTACCAAAATTCCAATTCTTATTGTGTATCCACATTTCAGGATTACTTCTGTTGTCTTGAGTCATCATTGTGTGCATTGACAGAATTATATTTTGTTAATCTGCAACTTCTTGTAAAAGACTTGACAGAATTCAACCTAAGTTGCACACATTCTTCAACATGATAATATCACACATTGTGTATTTTTTCAAACCTTTTACAAACCTTTTTATCTATTTATACATTTTACATACACTGATTGATAAATTTTACTATTTAAAGGTCCACTTTTCCTATTTGACTTTCTTCACAATAATGTAAGAGTAATTTTGAATACTTACATTTAAAATTTCTCCTTTAATCAGTTTCTATGAAAGAACAGAGTCCGTGTTCATACCGAAGGAGAAGATTTTCCCAGAACAACCGAAGGAATGTTCTCATAGCCTTAGAGACTTATTGGAAGCCCAAAATGCTCTATCCAGTATAGAGATTCCACAGGATAAACAAATACTTTCAATGAAGAGACCCCTTGATAAGAGCAGTCTTGAGAAAGGACCACCTGCAAAAATGTTGAAAAGGGGAGCTGGACCACAGACAAGTCCAAAAGGCAAGTTTTTGTTTAACAAATTTTATTCTTGTTTCAAAATTCCATTTGGGAAAACATTATAAGTTATATGGTACGCTACTGACCCCCTACGGATCTAAAGAGGGTGAGTAAAATCCATAGGGGTCGAGGCCGAAGTCCAAATCTATGGATTTTACTCACCCTCTATGGTCCATAGGGGGTCAGTAGTGGACAGTATAACGAATTTATTGCACGCAGGACTTTTCTTGCTGCGTTTTGTAGAAAAGTAAACAATGAAATACAACAACACCAATAGATGACGTCACCATTAACAGTAGACATGATGTCATGAACCCCCCTATGAAATTTACTAACCCCCTACGGATCCATAGGGGGTCACCAGGTGACGGCGTTAAACCAATCACAAAGTCATAATTTACCTGCGGTGCGATAAATTACATTATTGTTGTAATTAGCAGTAGCTGAACACTTAAATCAGAAGGACCATTGTAAAGAGGACATGACAGTTTAAGTTCTTTTACAAATTTATGAAAAATCTGCCAATTATAGAAGATATATTGAAGCACAGTGGATACCAAGACTAGATACAAATAGGCCATTTGGGGTCAACATTAAAAAAGAAATAACTTTGAATTATCTGATTTCATATGCTTTGACTTTCATTCATAAAAAGATATTGTGCATCATGTTATTGTGACATCAAATTATCATGATATCATAACATTACCAGGGATCTAAATGAATGACATCTTAACGATTGTGAAAGTGACATGTCATCATCCATGAAGTTGACAAGGATAATAAAGAATTGAAGAAGGCCTGTGGCCAAAACACCTTTAAAAATGGTTTAATTACTACAATAACAAATTTTAGATAAAAGAAAAATAACAGAAATTACCAAAAATATTGGACAGCACAAAAGACCACACCAACAATTGACTCTTCCGAAAATAAAATTGAATGTACAAACAACCTCAAACAACAACAAGTAATAGGCAAAGATCCAGAAATTTTATTACAGGATTTCAGACATTTTAAGTTTTACATTTCAGTTACAAATTGATTTGGCCCAAAAAAAGTGAACAAAAGATTAAGTACAGATTAATTTGACTCAAAAAGTGAACAGAAGATTAAGTACAAATTAATTTGACTCAAAAAGTGAACAAAAGATTAAGTACAAATTAATTTGACTCAAAAAGTGAACAAAGATTAAGTACAAATTAATTTGACTCATAACGTGAACAGAAGATTAAGTACACATTAATTTGACTCAAAAAGTGAACAGAAGATTAAGATTTAATGATTCTGCAATTGACCTTTTTAATTTAAGTTTCCATAATATTTGTTGTGGGGTTTATAAACTTGTTAAGTGTCAATTTAACTCAACAGATTTACAGTTGACTATTGACCCTTTGCATTATGAGCCTGTCTGGGCCCATGTTTTAGATACTGAAAAACAGAGGGTCATCTTATTTGCAGGCATATATGTCTCATGAAGCGCAGCACCATCTAAAAATGACATCTTTATTTTTTTGGTGCATCAATAGTTTTTGTCCTTATTTAAAAGAGATTTCATGTTGTGTTATTTTATTATATTTTTAGCGAAGTCCAGTTTCGACAGTGTACTCCTCAATCTCTTGTTGACAGGTGAGGACAAGCAGTATGGTTACACAACTAAAGATCTGAAATCACCAAAAGTTCCAAAGGTAAATTAAAAATACCTTCATTACATTAATGTCATTCCTATACAAGACATTTTTATACATGTAATTTCATAAGGTAGATCAGGTGTCTTTTTTCTGAGCATCTCCTCTTGGCATGTTGCAAAAATACTCTTTTGGTTTAAAAATATTTGACCAAATATCATTCAATATACAACAGACACATCTAAAACTTGAAATTTTAAGATTAAACTATCAAAAAATTAAGTGTATTTAAAATTTTCAGAAAAAAAATCCTTTTAAAATCAAAGGCAGATAATTATACTGAATTTGATAGGACAATTTCTTGGATTTTTCAAGAAAATAAGGCCTGTAACCCCCTATTTTTATTTGATATTTCGGAAGTATTTATGAAAGGCAATTCTCATTGAATTTTAACAAATTCTATTGTTTAATGTTTCTGCAATAAGAAAAATTAAGTTTCCCCTATTTAATCCATATAAAATAACTGTGATTTTGTTAATTATTATGCCCCCGCCGTAGCGGGGGGGGGCATTAAGTTTTACCCTTGTCCTTCTGTACGTCCCAAAATTGGTTTCCGTTCTCTAACTTGAGTTTGCCTCAACCAAATGTTATGAAAAATTTATTTTCTTCTAAATGTCAAGTAATTTTAAATTTGGAGTTATCTTCCTTTGTCCATCATTATAGTTGAATCAACTACAATCAATGCTTTATACTATGCAATGTTTAATTTTGACTTCCAGTGATAAAACACAGATCAAGTTGAATTTGGGTAGTGTCACTTTAACCATTATTGAGTTATGCCCCTTTATAATTCGAAAGATTGCAAAATTTTTAGTTTCCATTCTGTAACTTAAGTTTGCCCCAACCAAACATTATGAAACCTATACACAATATACATTACCACAAAACTAAGATTAAGTACAAATTTTTGTTTCCATTTTTCTAACTTTAGTTTGCCTCAACCAAATGTTATGAAACTTATACACAATGCTTATTACTACATAATACAGATTAAGTACGAAATTTGGTGGCGACACTTTTACCATTCTTGAGTTATGTCCCTTTATAAATATAAAAATTGCTGAATTTTTTAGTTTGTCTCAACCAAATGTTATAAAACTTACACACAACCGTTCTAGAGTTATGCGTGTTTACAAATAGAAAAATTGCTGAATTTTTAGTTTCTGTTCTCTACTTAAGTTAGCCTCAACCAAATGTTATGAGACTTACACACAATGCTTATTACCACAAAACTCAGATCAAGTTCAAATTTGGGTAGTGTCACTTTTATTGTTCTTCAGTTATGTCCCTTTATAACTATATGATATGCAAGCGGGGGCATCATCTGTGTCCACATGTGGGCACTATCCACATTTATTTCTATATATTTTAATTTACCTCCATTAGGAAAGGAAAAAATTGTTAAAAAAGGAAAACAAGTTTAAATAACTTTAAGTACTCTGATTAATTTTAAAGATGTTGACATTATATTAATCCATTGATTATCAATCTTTAAATTTTGCATTACATTTGTGCTTCAGATATTATACATTTAAGAACAAGTTACCAAAAGTATCTCAGCTTTTTTTGTTTTTAATATATTATATAATGCAACATTCAAAAGATATATTGCAACTAAATGTCATTATCAAAAATGTTAAGATGTGATTCCATTATTGTTTTGGCCTAGGCTAATGGTAATATTCAAAATATTTAAGTTTGATATTTAGTTAAATATACCAAGTTCAAAATGTCAATGTAATATAAAACTAAAAGAATGTGGTATGATTGCCAACGAGACAACTAATTTTATATTTGACAGTGTGACCTAATGAAACTGTGAAAAATTTAAATTTAATTTCAGTTGTTGTAACTAATTTTGATTTCAAATCGGACTTCCTTCTATATTAAAGAAAAAATGAATCCCACTTATTTTTTTGTAAAGACTCTTATAATAACAAGCCTTTAGCAATTGCTGCAATAATGAATATGACATTTTAGACGTGATTTTGTGCGTAGAGTCTTTACAATTTCTGCATTTTATTGTAACAGCTCTGCATACACAAGTTGCCCACTTTAAGGATCCTATCGTGTTGAAGATTTACCATGATTTTGTTCACTGGTGTCTATAATACTTATATTTTTTTTATCAGGTGTCCATAGCCCAGCCAAGAGCAGCTACAAACATATCACAGCCACAGCGGACCATTCTCCCAGGAAAGGACCTCTGGTATACTCTCAAGATGATGACTCCAGACGTCTCAATGTAAAAAATGACTCAAATGAAAGCTTGGTACTGTGTGTAGTCATCTATATATTCCATGTGTAGTAACTCTTTGATGACATATATCTTATATTATATTGTAAGATGACATATATTGTATATTGTATGACGACATATATTGTATGATGACATATATACTGTATGACAACGTATGATGACATAATAGGGCATTGCCATATTTCATCATCATACTTTCGGAATTTGCTTAGTAGTTATGGTAGGTGTAACATAAGTTTAGGACTCACGTGCAATTATGATCAGAACCTAAAAAGAAAATGATAAAGTGCAGACAAGATGTTTGATGGAAATTATAAAGCTGTGATGAATAGGAAATTTCGCTTTTATGTAAATAAGAGATGATCAAAGCCATGGAAACAGGGTACAGTGATAAGAACAATGATGTTGAACTGACATTTGACAAATAGATAGTTATGAACTAGCCTTTATTTACATTTCAATTCTTGGAGGTGTGTTTCTTTTATTTCTATTCTTGTGGCCCATGCAAAAAAAAAAAAACCAGAAAAGTTTTCACAAATAATGGTTTATTTGAACCCCTGTTGTGCAGAGCATTTATTTAAAATCATAGGCTGTCAAATCAAGTATGCATCATAATTTACTTTTCATAACATCACAAGAGGAGATTAAAAATTTTCAAGAAACACTGAGAAAAAAGTATGGGGGCACTGAAGAAATATTTTGTTTGTTATATTTGCTGTGATGTTTTTCCATGGCTCTTCGGTCACATTTGTTGAATTTGTTGAATTTTTGTATCAATATTTGATTTGTATAACTAAATAAATTTGACACTAGAGCTAGAATACATTGTTTGAGATATTTTATTTGAATAGATTATCATGTTTTTACTCATTCTGGCAATTGTCAGAAGTTTTTAGTATTTCAAAAGTTTGTTTTCTTGTTTCTTTTCATCTGTTTTGCCCATTATAATTTATTGCAGTTTTTTTAATGCCTGTTTGCTTCTCATTAAACTAGTTTGAAAATTGGCCGTCATTTTAAAAATGTAAATATACATGTATATAGAATAATTTATGGAAAAAAAAAAACAATTAAAAAGATTAAGATATACAAAAAACTTGAAACAAAAAAAAAAGAGCAAAAAAAATAGAAAAAGTAGAAAAAAAAAACAAAAAAATATATTGTGCCATTTTCATCTTGTTAATGCAAGTCATCTTTTTATTCATTGAGCATATTATTTTTTCATTTCAAATCATTAGCATAGCTTGCTTATAAAAGAAGGCATGCTTCTCTAAAAGATTTTTTTTAAAAGTTACATAAAATATGAATAAATAAATAAACACATATTTTTTCACTCTGATACTGTAAATATTTATTGTCTGACGTTTCTTGTATTTTTTAGATCAGTCAAATATATTTATCAGGGTGGAATATGTCATACCTAAATCTATTTGTGGCTTTCTTTTAGAAGAAAAGCTTGCGACTGAAGTAGATTGTTACACTGAAATTTTCATGGCTTACAAGTATATTTTTTGTGAAAATAATCTTTGAACCATATTGGATCTTAAGTGTTAAATGTCAGTATAATAAGATCAGTTATTTAGAAATAAAGACAATGTATTGAATCAGCTTATTTCTGTTTTAAATATTTGATGAATAGATTTTAATAATACCAAAGTCAGAATTTTACTTTATAAGCTGCCTCCTGAAACTCTTTTTACAAAAAAATATCTTACGATTAGAATCAATCTTCAGTCCTAATACTTTTTTAATGACTTATATTCATTTTTACTCATAAAATTTTTGATTAAAAGGTTTGCTGTTTTTTTTAGGGGTCATCTGTTTCATTTTGAAATGTCCTTATATATATTTACACTTTTATCATGTAGAGAGAAAAATCATGATGGCAGATTTAAGAACAAAAACTAAAAAAATCCAAAAAATAGTAACATAACATTGTAGCTTTGGGCTGGTAGCTTTAAAGACGGGATATATCATGTACACATGTATATGTTTCTTATATGAGATGATTTCAAGCTGATTGGTTTCAAAATTTTTACATCAAAGGAAAAAGAGTTGTCTTTTCCTTACATCAGATATAAGTTACTGGATCCTTGTTAAAAAGTTACTTTTCCAGTGCTTTTTTAAATGAAAAACAAATATATTTTTTAATGGTAGCATGAAGCATTTGAACATTTCAGATATTTTAGTATTGTTTTTGTACAGATATTGTTAAGTATTGTGATAAGTTTATATTGTGTTGTATTTTGTTTTCAATCAACAATATTTTTACATTACATTTTGAGAGGTCAGTCGATAGAAAGACATTTTTTATATTACATCTCAAACATTTTTCCAGGTTACATGTACAATCTGCCTTAAATTGTTGATGTTTATATTAGATTGTTAATTATTGGTACATAATTATAATTTTTGAAAATAATGTATGAAAAGAATTTTTCTAATGTTTAATACAAATACATCATTTATTAATCTTTTTTAAATGTTACAAAGGAAGAAAAAATTAGCAGCAGAATTTAAACCCAACTAAAAAAAGTAAAATTATTTGATAACTTACGGATGTAGTCATGTTAGTTTTAGGAATTTTTGTCAGATGTTCGGACTCTTTGCGTTTAGAATAATGTCAATGCTAAATATAAGGTGAGGTCTGAGTCAGCCTTTTCCAGCCATTTGTTTTAATCAAAATATCTTGAAAAGGAGTGCCATAACCTATCAATTTTGAGTTTATTTTGTTTCTTAACTTATGCTCTTCTGACTTATAGTATCCATTTTAAATTCTAGATTTTTTTTTAGTTTCACCCGAATACATCCTTAATTGATTTTAGTTCTTTCCATTTTTACCTCACCAGGGCCCGAATGTCCCCATGTGAGCTTATGCCATCACTTGGCGTCTGTCGTCGTCTGTCGTCGTAAACTATTTCAAAAATCTTCTCCTCTGAAACTGTAGGGCCAAATACCTTCAAACTTTAAATAAATGTTCCTTAGGGTATCTAGTTTATAAATTGTATCCGAAGTTTTGATCCATCGACAAACATGGCCGCCATGGCTAAAAATAGAACATAGGGGTCAAATGCAGTTTTTGGCTTATATCTCAAAAACTAAAGCTTTTAGAGCAAATCTGACAGGGGTCAAATTGTTCAATTGGTCAAGATCTATCAGCTCTGAAATTTTCAGACGAATCGAACAACCCATTGTTGGGTTGCTGCCACCGAATTGGTAGTTTTAACAAAATTTTGCAGTTTTTTGTTATCATTTTGAATATTATTATAGATATATATAAACTGTAAGCAGCAGTAATGTTCAGCAAAGTAAGATCTACAAAAAAGTTAATATGACCAAAATTGTCAATTGACCCCTTAAGGAGTTATTGCCCTTTAAAGACAATTTTACACAATTTGTTCATCAAGTTTGCTAACATTTAAAAATCTTCTCCTCTGAAATACAGGTGAGCAATTCAGGCTCTTGAGAGCCTCTTGTTTAAGCAGCTCTTACAAAGCCCATTTCTAGAGAGATCCCTACTCATATAAATCCTGTTTCTTATTATTGCAGAGCAGAATTTCTTGGTCAGTCCCTTTATAAGGCCACATTCCATTTGTTAATGTGTGTTAAGAGCCTTGCTTATAATGCTAAATATTAAACAAATATAAAGCTGTTGAAAATTGTTTTTCAAAACAACTATGCAAAAATGGAATGTATAGAGATTTTACACATATCATCACATCTATTTCATGTACAATTACAAATTGAGAAAATTCTAGATTTGTATAAAAAAAAAATACTAGTTATTTTAGAAAGATCAGGATGTAGAATTGATTTTTTTTTCCAGAATTTTTTCATTTCATTAAAGCTCAATTTAGCGTCAGTAAATAGGTTTCACAACTAATCAGTCATATTAGAACTTAGCTGCAGAGCCGTAGCTCTTACGGTCCTTTTGATATTTTTTGACAATTTGAGGACTATGGTCTGCAAATTGTCAAAAAATATCATATGGATCATAAAAGCTACAGTTAGGCAGCTAATTAGGATTTTACCTTTTTACCAAATTAGAATATTAACATTTCTTTTTTTTTTAATTTTCAGATTACAGTTTGTGTGATGTAATTTAGGCAAATGATTTTCAGACATGAAATAACAAAATATATTGATAATTAATTTATATCTTCAAAACTTATGATCAGCTACAGCAAGAATTAGAATTTTTAGAGTTTGAACTTGATCTAAATCAGTACGAAACAAAATAGAATTAGATAGAATATTGTTTGTTTAAATCACTGTAAGAATTGTCAACTTTATTATTCATTGAAACTCTGCGCAAAGGGAAATTGAAATCATTTCTCAATACAGTTAATCACCTAACTTAATAAAGATTAGTTACATTTATTATCATTTTTAGTCACAGATTAATACATGTTAATTTGTCCTGGATATTCTTGAAATATTTGCCACTGGACATTAGGCATTAAGCAACTGTCAATCATGTTTGTCATTATATAGCCAAACTCAGCACATTTAGCATATTTAAGATGCCAGTATTGTTAGTAATACCTTCTTTTTTACTTTTTTTTTGACTTATTGTTTTTTAAAGAAAATTTCTTTGTTTAGTTAAAGTTAAGATTATGACATTTGCCATTGTAAGAAGAATTTTTAGTATAATTTATGTTTTGTTTTGTTTTTTTGTTTGTTTGTTTGTTTGTTTCAGCACCTTATCAATCATACAAAATTCATTTACAAAAAATTCACATGAACAATAGATAGCAGCAATGTAACTCTTGCTATTCATTGTATGCTGGCCATTCTCCATTTTTTGGATCATATTTTAATGTTTTGTCTGTATATTTATGGCTTTATCAATAAAATTTTATGGCCAGATATCATTTGTTTTTGTTTCCTCACCAAGGCAAAATGGCCATTTAAACTACTGCTGTCAAGTAATACTTACAATCTTAATCATCTCATGTGTTAGCTTTAAACTGGGAACAGTATATCTAACGGGAAATGAATCTGATAAGCTTTTCAGTATAAAATTGATAAAATCTCGGACTCCACAAGACTTCACGAGATTTATTGATTTTGGTAGCGTCTGACTGAAAACTATCGGAACTGCCCAAAAAATTAACCACATAATTCTAATCGTAAATAGATACAAGTTTTATCATAAAGTAGATATATTTATGCCCCTGCCTAATGGAGGGGGCATTAAGTTTTACCCTTGTCTGTCTGTACGTACATATGTACGTCCCAAAATTGGTTTCCGTTCTCTTACTTGAGTGTGCCTCAACCAAATGTTATGAAACTTATACACAATGCTTATTACCACAAAACGCATATTAAGTTTCAATTTTGGTGGCGTCACTTTAACCATTCTAGAGTTATGCCCCTTTATAAATGGAAAAATTACAAAAATTTTAGTTTCTGTTCTCTAACTTAAGTTTGCCTCAACCAAATGTTATGAAACTTATGCACAATGATAATTACCACAAAACACAGATCAAGTTTGCATTTTGGTGGTGTCACTTTAACCGTTCTAGAGTTATGCCCCTTTATAAATGGAAAAATTACAAAAATTTTAGTTTCTGTTCTCTAACTTTAGTTTGCCTCAACCAAATGTTATGAAACTTATGCACAATGATTATTACAACAAAACACAAATCAAGTTTGAATTTTGGTAGCGTCACTTTAACCGTTCTAGAGTTATGCCCCTTTATAAATGGAAAAATTACAAAATTTTAGTTTCTGTTCTCTAACTTAAGTTTGCCTCAACCAAATGTTATGAAAATTATGCAGAATGATTATTACAACAAAACACAAATCAAGTTTGAATTTTGGTAGCGTCACTTTAACCGTTCTAGAGTTATGCCCCTTTATAAATGGAAAAATTACAAAATTTTTAGTTTCTGTTCTCTAACTTAAGTTTGCCTCAACCAAATGTTATGAAACTTATACACAATGCTTATTACCACAAAACACATATCAAATTTGAATTTTGGTGGCGTCACTTTAACCGTTCTAGAGTTATGCCCTTTATAAATGGAAAAATTGCAAAATTTTTAGTTTCTGTTCTCTAACTTAAGTTTGCCTCAACCAAATGTTATGAAACTTATACACAATGTTTATTACCACAAAACACAAATCAAGTTTGAATTTTGGTGGTGTCACTTTAACCGTTCTAGAGTTGCCCCTTTATAAATGGAAAAATTACAAACATTTTTAGTTTCTGTTCTCTAACTTAAGTTTGCCTCAACCAAATGTTATGAAACTTATGCACAATGCTTTTTACCACAAAACACAGATCAAGTTTGAATTTTGGTGGAGTCACTTTAACTGTTCTAGAGTAATGCCCCTTAATAAATGGAAAAATTACAAAATTTTTAGTTTCTGTTCTCTAACTTAAGTTTGTCCCAACCAAACATTATGAGACCTATACACAATACTTATTACCACAAAACTCAGATCAAGTACAAATTTGGGTAGCTTCACTTTTATCGTTCTTGAGTTATGTCCCTTTATAATGTTGTATGCAAGCGGGGGCATCATCTGTGTCCATGGGGACACATTCTCCATTTATTTGTCATATTAAATGACCAAAACAAGTGTGATTTATTTGATGTTAAGTGCTTTAAAATGGTGTGAGAATTTGGGAAAGCAATCGGGCCATTTTTTTATTATCCTGTTTGCATTCTGTACCATTCTGTGATGAAATGAATTCGATTATAACAAATTTGAAGTGACAGATAACAAGTTTGATACACTGCCATCACTTTAAAACTATGTTTGAATGACATTTTATTGATAATATCAGAAATTATTAGGATACTGTAAATTCAGAAATTATTGCGTGCATTTATTATTGCGATTTTTGAAGAATGGACATAAATGCGAGATTAATTATTGCGATTTCAGGAATAGGTGCATACAGATATATGCATCAGATATCAGAATGCAAGTTCTTATTATTGCGATACTCACACAGTCGCATTATTCGCATTAATAAAAACCTCGCAATAATTTCTGAATTTACAGTAATAGTGAGTATGTTTTTAACACATGTCCGTTTCTGTATCGTATCTTTATTAACTATGACCCAACGATAAAATTGGCTACAATTAGGTAGTGTCAAGTCCCGTCAATATATATATATGTTCCTGCTTCAAATTAGCCACTAAGGGTATTGATACCAAACTTCCTTAAAATTTAATTGTATCATAGCACAAGTTTAAACATGTCTCATCTTAATGTCCTTGTTCCAAGTCTGGAACCTTTCAGTGAATTGTTTATGTTTTATGCCCTGCCTACAAAAGAAGAGGTGCATTATGTTTTCTGATCTGTCCAACTGTTCATTAATATAAAAATAAGGAGATGTGGTATAATTGCCAATGAGACAACTATCCACCAAAGTTCAAATGAAGTGGATGTAAGCAATTATAGGCAACAGTACGGCCTTCAACAATGAGAAAAACCCATACCGTATGGTCGGCTATAAAAGGCCCTGACATGAAAAATATGAAACAGTTCAATTGAGAAAACCATCGGCCTAATTTATAACAAATCAATTTACGAAAAACAAATATGACAGACATGAACCAACGACAACCACTGAAGTACAGGCTCCTGACTTGGGACAGGCACATAAAGAATGTGGCGGGGTTAAACGCTCAACCCTCCCCTAACCTGGGACAGTGGTGTAATAGTTCAACATAAGAACAAACTGCAAAAATCAATTGAAAAAGGCTTAACTCATCAGATGGATACAAATAGAAATACATCTAACAAAAACACAGAGTGGACGTGGACGTTTCCATTAGTCTATCCATCCTTTAGAGGGTTAAGTTTTACTTTAGGGTAGTCTTTGGTCACATCAACTTGAAACTCTGTTCACATGTTCATTATGAAGTGAACTGTTTAATATGTATGAAAAATTAGGGTTTTGACCTAGATTTCAAGGTTCACTGAACATGGAAAAAGATAGTACAAACAGGGCATGGTGTCCTAACACACATATTCTTGTTTCTAAGTGTTTTTGTCCTTTAAAAAAATTGGTGAAGATGGTAGATCTTTGTCTCTGTTATGTTAATTCGCAACTTGTCATGCATGGGAGTGATTTACAGCTTGACATAAAGTATAGACAGCCATGTACTAGTGAAGATGTCTTAGGGTTCTGGATTGCCTTCACATAGACATATATGCAATATTTCCTTTTATTCATTCATATTCATATCATTTATGAACCATCTATATTAGGGTAATTTGCCATTAAGCTGGACACCTTTTACTTTGTGCCGCACTTTGTACCTTCATTTGAGCATTAAATTCATTGACATGTTTGTAATTCCACAGACATTTCCATCGGAAGTCAATAAATGACTATCCCAGATACAATTGAATCTATTTTGAAATAATCAAATAATGGATTGAACTTAAAAACAGACAAATTTGCCCTTGAGTTAGACACCCCAGAATAACATGTCTAAATGACAAACTTGCTTACATCCATGTCATTTGGTTTCTTGTGAACAGTTGTCTCATCTATAATCATACCACATCTATTTTTATTTTGAAAATAAAAACCATCTCAAACATGATATATACTAAATTAATGTATTTAATTAACTTAAACAATAATCCTTTGTCACTGGAAGAAAATCATTTGAAGTTAGGACCTTGTTGCTACCTGTCGTTGGAAATTAAATTTCAGAATCGAAAGCATCAAAGCAGCCTAAAACCATATTGAAAATAAGGATTTTTCAGAAGAAATGAAAAAAAATGACTGTTTCATCTTGTTATATGCTGACAATAAATGGTAAAGAGCAGATTAAGATTCTTCTTTAAAAACACAATGTTATTAATTGCATATATCTAGTCTTGAGGGGGAAATCTTTTTGAAATGTTCGACCTAGGAGCAAGTTACCCTTTGTTAATAAAAAAAAATTAAAAACATCTATTTTACCTTGATAATATTGTTGCTTTAAGTGATTTAAGCTTTTAACAAATAAATAAGAAGATACCAAGGAGCAATCAAAACTCACAAGTCAAACAAGGCCAACAAATCAATATCAAAGAGAAAAGATAAATACAGACCTCCCAACTATCTCCATTTATGGGGGATATCCCCCCATGGGAGGGGTTGGCCTGACTATTCAAATCCTCTATCATATGAAATTAATACCTCAAAATAGTTATTCAAATGAGTTTAATGGCATTTAAGTACATATATACTCCTAAAAATGATTGTATATATCTTATTGAATATACTTTAGGCATGTATAAAACATGCACTAGGTCCTCTTGGGCTTTAAGTCCCCCATGGAGGTTTTGAAAAGTTGGCAGGCATGTAAATAAAAAAAAACCCAACAGTATACAATACACCTCACATATAACTAGTGATGTATCCCTCCAAAACCCATGTGAACTCTGGTACTTAAGAATGATAGGCAAATCATTCTCTACTAGTGCCACTCTATTGTCCATGTCATACAACAATTCAGTGATAATAAAGGTATAGACAGGCCGATGTGAGAAATATATGACATACCAAAGATATCCTAAGTCATCTGTGACAGATACTGCTTAACAGTGTGTATCAGTAAAACTTACGATAAGATGCATCAACTTTACAAGTAATAATCCATTGTCCAATATCTTTCTTGCATGCAGCAAACACAAAGCCCTGGCATATCACAACTTGGAGAGATATACTCCTGCTAGAGTTTTGTTTCTATAAAAAAAATATTAGTACACAACAGGAAACAGAGGTCATCCCTTTGGTCATAAAGATTAATTCTAAACCAACCCTCAAAGTCAATTTCTAGGTGTAGGTCATGGTATGGTCATAAAGATTAATTCTAAACCAACCCTCAACGTCAATTTCTAGG